ATGATTTTCACATAACAACCAATCGTTTACACTCAACTCATTCGTGTGAATCCAAACGCAAAAATCCAGTGGCGTTAGCTCGGAAGGCGAGAAGCCACGACTGAAACATGATCCGGTAGATCAAATCGGGTTTAGTGATCAATCAGGATCACTATTAAGATCGTTTTGAATAATCAAGTTTCTAGTCTAATTGAAATCACTCCTTGGACTGTGAATAATTTGCTTTCATAACATTGAAATGCTCATGCCGAGCTAGTGCACGATTAAGCAAATCTACCATAGAACAATATGCTGCTGCTTTGAATCACAACACGAAAAACGTTTCAAAGATATGAAATCTTCTGAGGAATTTTACAAAAATCAAAAATTTCTGATCAATTATAACTGAATGATGATCAGGGTGATCAGATCACCTGATATGGTATCGTAGCATTGACGGTAGTAAGCTTGTTTCAACCAAATATAACGCCAAAAGTTTGTGATCGTTTAAATTTCCGCCTGGAATATTCGGAAATTCAACTTCAATCGAATGATCATATAAGAGTATTTCAGATCAATACAGTACTTCTAAATATGGAGTATTTCAACGATATAATAACAGTTAAAACTTAAATCACACCAGCGATAACGGTGACAGTGAAATATTCTTAGAAATACGAGAGTTTGCTCAATAGGTCCTTAAACCTTACCTATGTTCACCTTTGATTTGGCCCATAATTTTGTGAAGAACCCTTTCATTGTGGCTGCAGCAAATGAGTCTGCGTCAACCAATCGGATCTGAAATCGTCTCCTATCACCTAGCCGAATTTTAACACCTCCCAGCAAATCCGACTGAGAGTCGTCATCCAAAGAGTATGAGACTGAACCAGTGCCTGGTCTATAGGAGGCAACAATTATTCCTTTTTCGTAGATTTGATCTGCAGCGATCAAACAACAGCTCGATTGATATGATCAAGTGATCAGAACCCACATCGAAGATGTTGTTGATCGGATTTGAGTTGACAAGCTCAGCGAATTCTTTCATTTGAGGTGATATCGACGAAACAGATTCATCCCATTCGTCCAGTAGATGTGTTACTGTATCGGAAATTGTCTCACAAAAATCCGGCATTGGCGTGACTGGCATATGACATTGATGTGCGATTGACTCACGACCCTCCTGAAGAAGACAAATCCAGAATCATCAGGCGGAATTTGGCTTTATGTGAAGTGAAAGCTGCCTTGTATGTTTAGAGATAATCGCAAGGAATTCACAAATTTGCTGAGTGTGAGCTTGAGTTGATCAATAGATATGATACAGTTACTGCAGCTGCTGAATGAACTCACACAATGGAATGATAGCTGTGATTTGACAAGTAATTTCCCGTTTTGAGTGGCTTCAACATCTCGAGTACACGACTCCTGTTGTGAGCCAATATCAAGCACTCGGAAGTCAACTGATGATTTGCTTAGAGCTGAAAATTCATCTTGCAAAGGATCAACGCGGATCATGATAATTCTTATTAATTTCTGGTTTGTTACTAGACGTGATGTACTGTCAGAGGAGCAGATAGCAGGCAGAGGAACCACATTTTACGTAAATTCCAGAGGAAGAGTATCGCTTCCACATATGATCAAA